CATCCACAAAGGATGAAACTAGCTCTCCAGCAATAAACTCCAGCAAGAAGCAAAATTTTTAAATGTCAGATATGGAATTTAAAGTATGGATCACAAGCAAGCTCAATGAGATTAATGAAGAAGTTGAAAACCAACACAAAGAAGCAAAAAAAAAAAAAAAAAAAAAAAGAAAGAAAGAAAGAAAAGAAAAAGTTTAGTACATGAATAAAAAATTCACTAAAGAGATAGACATGTTAAGAATAAACATAGAAAAATTTCTGGAAATTAAAGAGGTATTTAAGAAATTTCAAAATATAGTGGAAAGGTTTAAAATAGGCCAGACTAAGTAGAAGAAATAATTTCAGATCTTGAAGACAAGGCTTTTGAATTAACACCGTCAAAAATGAATGAAAGAATCAAGAAGAATGAACAAAGACTTTGAGAATTGTGGGACCATGTAAAACAACCAAATATAATAATGATAGATATACCTGAGGGAGAAGAACAAAAAGCAAGAAGCATGGAAAACATTCTTAGGAGAATAATGGAAAAATTTCCTGGTCTAGGTAGAGATTTAGACATCCAGATGCAAAAAAGTCATTGAATTCCTGGAAGATTCATTACAAACAAGTCATCTCCAAGGCACATAGTCATCAGTCTGACAAAAGTCAAACTGAAGAATAAAATCCTAAAAAGCTATGAGATGAAAATGTCAAGTAATTTACAAAGTAAAATCCATTGGATTAAAAGCAGATGTCTCAGAGGAAACCTTATAAGCCAGAAGTGAATGGGGTCCTATGTTTGGTCTTCTCAAACAGAATAACTGTCAGCCAAGAATTTTGTAGCCAAAAAAAAAAACAAAATTCATAAATGAAGGATAAATTCTTTCCCAGATAAGCAAACACTAAAGGAATTTGTCACCACTAGACCTGCCTTAACAGAAATTCTTAAAAGTGAACTATATACATTGAATAGAACAATCGATACTGATCAATATAAAAACAAAACAACTGAAAGTAAAAACTAACAGCTCTTATAAAATAGTAACATGAGGGAAAAGGAAGCAACTATGCAGCAATCAACATGATGAATGGTACAATATCTCACATATCAGTATTAACATCGAATGTAAATGGTCTAAATATACCACTTTAAAAATATGGATTAGAGGACAGGATATAAAAACCACAACCCAAATATATGTTCTCTTTAACAAAACCATTTAACCTATAAAGATTCTCATAGACTCAAGGTAAAGGGATGGAAAAAATATTCCACACAAATGGAAACTTAAACTAAGCAGGAATATCTGACATAAGCTATTCTTATGTCAGATAAAATAGACCTTAAAACAATAACAGTTAAAGACAAAAAAAGATAGTCATTGTATAATGATAATAAAATTGACTGGCCAAGAAGATATAGCAATCCTAAATACACATGTACCTAACACAGTAGCTCTCAAATCCATAAAACAAATACTAGTAGACTTAAGGAAGGAAATAAACAGCAACATCAAAATATCTAGGTTCTTCAACACTCTAAATCAGAAAAGAGGCAATCATATTATCCCTGTTTGCTGATTATATGATCTTACATCTAGAAAACTCAGAAGACTCCTCCAAAACACTCCTAGAATTGATAAATAAATCTGGTAAAGTCTCATGTTACAAAATTAATGTACACAAATTGGTAGCATTTCTATACACTAATAATAGTAAAGCTTAAATTCCAATCATGAGCTCAATACCATTTATAATAGCTGCTAAGAAAATAAAATACTTAGGAATACATATATCTAAGTAAGTAAGGATCTCTATAAGAGACCTACAAAACCTTGATGAAAGAAATCTTAGATGACAGAAACAAACAGAAAAACATCCCATGTCCATTGATTGGAAGAATCAATATTGTTAAACTATCCATACTACACAAAGTGATTTACTGATCAATGCAATTCCCATCAAAATACCATAAAATACCTCATTTTTCACATATCTAGAAAAAACCAATCCTAAATTTCATATGGAATCAAAAAAGAGCCCAAATGGCCAAAGCATTCCTAAGGAAAAAGAACAAGTCTGGAGGAATCCCATTAGTGACTTAAAATTATACTACAAGATTATAGTAACCAAAGCAGCATTGTACTAGTATAAAGCTAGAGACATAGACCAATGAAATAGAATAAAGAACCCAGAAGTAAAGCCATATAGGTATAAAGCAGACAAAACATAAGCTGGGGAAAAGACACCCTATTCAACAAATATGGCTGAGAAAAATTGGATAGCCACATATGGAAGAATGAAACTAGATCCCTATCTCTCACCATATATAAAAATTAATTAAATATGAATTACTCAATTCTAAGAAGTGACAGTGAGTTAGCACCGTTTATGCTATCCTGGATTAAGCTCAAGCCCATTATTCAAAGTGAGGCGACACAAGACATGAAAAATGGGTCCCACATCTACTTGCCATCCAATTGGTACTGACTGATTAAAACTATGGTTCTCAAATGGTGGTAATGTTCACCAGGGATTCGGGAGAGGGCGGGGAGAGACCCAATCTTAGGGATGTGGTGAGCATTTTGGAGGGGAAGGGCATAACTCTAACCCTTCTTAGGGAGAGGCAAAGATATACAATGTAACCAAAATGTCAAAAAAAACCCACAAACAAACAAACAAAAAACCTTTTTATTGGGTGGTGGGTATGTGGGAGGGGGGAGGAGGAGAAGGGTGTATACTTACATAATGTGTGCGGAACACACCACCGGAGGATTGGATATGCTTGAATCTCTGGTACGTCATGGGGAGGGAGGGGGGCAATATTCGTAACCCTAACAATATTTGTATCCCCATAATATGATGAAATAAAAGGAAGAAAGAAAGAAAGAAAGAAAGAAAGAAAGAAAGAAAGAAAGAAAGAAAGAAAGAAAGAAAGAAAGAAAGAAAGGAAGAAAGAAAGAAAGAAAGAAAGAAAGACTTAATTGTAAAACCTGATATCATAAAAATTCTAGAAGAAAACATTGGAAAAACTCTTCTGGACATTGACCTAGGCAAATAATTTATTACTAAGACTGCAACAGCAAATATAGCAACAACTAAATAAATAAATGAAACTTACTTAAACTGAAAAGTTTCAGCACACCAAAAGAAATAATCAACAAAGTAAATATACAACCTACAGAATGGGAGAAATATTCTCAAACTATACATCTGACAAAGGATTAATATTCAGCATCTTCAAAGAACTCAAACAAATCAGCAAGAAAAAAATAATAACCCCATCAAAAAGTAAGCTAAAGACATGAACAAGATTTTTTCAAAAGAAACATAAATGGCCAACTGACATATGAAAGTATGCTCAACATCACCAATCATGAGAGAAACTCAAATTAAAACCACAATAAGATACCACTTTACCCCTGTCTGAATATTAACCCTTTGCACTCGGATGTCAAGTGTGACTTGACACGGTTAGCATGAGTAGCAGCTCACACCATGAAAAATTATAGAGATTAAAATTACTCTTTGAATGTATCATTAATTTGAAATATAAAAAAAATCTAAATAAATAAGTTTGTATGAAAAGAAACTCCAGTATTTATTATTCTGGGGTATTTAAAAAATTAAATCCCGAGTAGAATAAAGGAATCGAGAAAAAAGCAAGCTAGTGCAAAGGGTTAAAAAGTTGAAAAACAATAGATTTTGGCACAGATGTTTTGAAAAGGGAATACTTACACACTGTTGGTGGGAATGTAAACTAGTATAGCCTCTATGGAAAATAGTATGGACATTCTTCAAAAAACTAAAAGTAGACCTACCATTCAATCCAGCAATCCCAGTACTGGGTATCTACCCAGAGGAAAAGAGGTCATTTTATTAAAAAAAAAAAAAAAAAAAAAAAAAAAAAAAAAAAGACACATGCACCCAAATGTTTATCGCAGAACAATTCAGAATTGCAAAGATATGGAATTAATCTAAATGCCCATCAACTGATAAAGTAGATAAAGAAAATATAGTATATAGAGAGCATGGAGTACTACTCAGCCATAAAAAGTAATAAGATAATGTCTTTAGCAGCAACTTGGATGGAGCTAGAGACATTTATCCTAAGTGAAATATCCCAGGAATGGAAAAACAAATACTACATATTCTTACTTATAAGTGGGAACTAAATAAGGGGTATATCTGGTCAAAAAGTGGTGTAATGGACATTGAAACTATGGATGGGGAAAGTGGATGGGAATGAAGGATTAAAATCTACCTATTGGGTAAAATGCACATTATTCTGGTGACCGCACACTAAAATCCCTAACTTCAGCATTATACAATTCATTCATATAACAAAAAACACTTGTACCCCCTAACCTATTGAAAAAAATTCCCTACCCAAACAACTACCTCCCCAATTTTTTCTGTCTTAGCAATAACAACACCAGTATTTCAGTTGTTTTAGCCAAGATGTTAAAGTCATTCTTTCCTTCTCTATTTCTTTCACACCCATTCCATTCCATTAGAAAATGTCTTTGGTTCTAATCTCAAATACACATTCAAGTTGAATTCCCTTTTATCACCTCTATTGCTACTGTTCTGTACATATTATTCATTTAATAAAACTCAAAAATTCTGCATAAGGAACCACTCTAAAACTTAGTGGTTCAAAATAATAGCCAATTATTACTTAAAAATCTACAGGTCAACTGGGGAAGAAGTTTTGCTGATCTGTAGCTGAAATGAAATGAGGAGAGACATAAAAGGAAAAGTCGTAAAAATGGGAGTTGCCAGATTACAAAGGGCCTTTGTCAACCAGAGTTAGGTTTTTTGAATCTTATTCTGAATGAAATAAGGTAGTAGATTGAATGTACATATATAGTAATTATTACCCTCCACATATCCACATTTCTTTGTAATGTGACTCTGTAGCTTTTCCCCACAATGAATCTGGGTGGGCTTCATGACTTGTTTTGACCACTAGAATGAGCAAAGTGACATCATATGATTTCTACTTTTCTTGTATAGGCTTCAGTCAACCTTGCATGGTTCTGCTGTCTTAGAACCTTGCCAGCTGTCATCAGATCAAGCCTAGGCTAGCTTGCTAGAAGATGAGAAATCATGTGGATGAGGTTAGTACACTCAGTTTCCCAACCTTATGCTTCAGAGATATTAGATAGCCCAGCTGCTCATGGCTTTCCAGCTACACTGGATATGCCCACAGCTAAGGCCCTCTGTGTTAAGGGCCTTTCTCTTACCCTGCAATTCTCTTTTCCCAAATCTTGTTGGTTCTCTCCTACTCTATGTTTCTGCTCCATTCAGAGAGATGTACCTTCAATCAACTATTTAAAATGTCACCACAGCCCCTCTAACTTCTAAGCATGTTTTAATATTTTTGATAGAATCTATTATTTAATTCAGGCATTACTGTCTGTCTTTACTGGACGAATGACGTCATGAGACCAAAGCCATTGCATTTTGTGCACTGCCTCATCCCCAGTGACTAGACCAGCACTGTTCAAAAAATAAAATAAAATAAAATCCAAGGCACATGAGTAAAACTTTAAATTTCTAACACCCACATGAAAAAAGGTAAAAAGTGGTAGGTGAAATTAATTTTAATAACTTTGTATTTAACCTAACATAATCAAATTATTGTCATTATGACATATAGACAATTTTAATAAGAATTAATATAGTTTCACATTTTTATAAAAACTGCCTTTGAAATACAGTATGTATTTTTTATATTTACACACATATCAAATCAGGTAAGTGCTCAATACTTTCACGTAGTTAGTAGTTATCATTTTGAACAGCACAAATGTAACCCATTGTAGTATTAGTCATAACTATTTCAATCCAAGCAGTCTACACACAACTGGACCAAATGAAATAGGAGGAAGATCCTGAGGCAAAATAAAGTACTAGTTCTACAGCTTTATCAGTTGAGGGCAGGTCTCACTACTTTCTTCACTTTATCACATTGTCCCTGAAGGTTTTAGTACATGTTCCTCCAAGTTTATCTCAATTTTCTTGAATGTTTTACTGGTTCTCTAGTTTTTTTACTCTCATTGCTATTAACACTTTTAAGTAAAAAGTAAAACATTCAAGACCAGTAAGATTAAGGCTGTTGATAAACAAGAAAAAAGCATAACACATAATACTTCAAGTCAATTCTCATCTTTATTTCTACGTTCACAAAAGTAATATATTTACTCAGAATTCCAGTTAGTTATTTTGACTATATGTTGAAAAAAATAAACAACCTTCTTCAACTCTTTTCTTTTCCATTATAAGATTCTTGTGGTTAAAAATCCTGTCATGGATCTTTAAGTTCACACCAGAGGTTAACAAACCCAAATTTTCCCCATTTCCAGGTGATTACACTTGCAGTTCATTTTGCCTAAAAAGCTCACTGTCCTCTCTATCTAGCTTCCTCCTTCAGGTGTCAGATTAAATAACACCTGGGGAGGTGGTGTCTAAATTAGTCTATCCTCCCTATTAGGCATTTCATAGCACTCACCTTCCTTCAGAGCACTTACCATGATTGTAAATACATAATCATTTGAATAATTATCCTTGCAGCACAGAACCATGCTGCATCCCCAGCATAAAGCATAGTTACTGACACAAAGCAGGTGCTCAAAAATACTGAGTAATGAATGTAATACCTGATTATTGAGTACATGAAAATTTAGAAGTAGAAAAGATTGTTAATATCAACTAATGCCCAGTGCCTTCGCTTAGGATGACAGTCCTACAGGTGACACTGGAAAATTCATAAACAAGGAACACACACACACACTTAATTTCTCTGTTTATTTGTACCTGGAAAGTTTTGTGAGTGAGCATAGTATAAGGGATAAAATGCCAGAGGGCAGCGTGCAGGGCATTATGAGAAAAGCTGAGCAGATGGCCAAGGGATGTGCCACGCTTCATTATTAAGCAATTGTCTGACCTTCAGGCACTCTGAACCTTAAATTCATTCTTTGTAAAATAACTTAGCTGGACTTGATCTCTATGATACCCTATTTCATCAGTTCTAAAATGCACTATTTTTTCACATTTTAACCTCTCTGAAATCAAGATGCATCTTACAATCCATGTTTTTTACATCCCTGTCAAGGGTGGTTGTGAGTGACATAAACAAAATAAAAAATCTTCCCTTGATACCTTCTGGAAAGACCAAGAAAGCACTAATACTAAAGCACTTTAGAAAGACAGGGACATAGAGCCATACAATTCTGCGATTCTAAGTTATTTCTTTCGTTACCTATTTCCTAACATTTTAAAATCATTCCAAATTAAAAGGTAAACATTTATGGAATAGTATTTATTTGCATGAATCACTGACCTGATTCCTGTTAATCATTTTGTAGGTCAAAAGTCAGGATGTTTACGCTCACAGATGACACAGAAATATTCACAGTATGTTTTCATACATGCCTAACTCAAATATCATTAAACATACATATTCACCTAAAGACATTCTTTTCTGGGTGAGGAAATAGTCCTCAACCTAGAATTCTCCAAATAAGAAGCTTCATTTCCCTACTCAGCATGAATAGAATACACATTATAAAAGCCGAAGAATAAATGCTTCTGTCACTTTTTATATCCTTTCACACCATGGTAGATTTTTTTACTTTTTATGAATTGGGCATCGTGTATTTATTTAAACAATCATGATATCTCTTTATAAATGAGCACTGTAACTATTAAGATCCCCCCCCCCTCTCTCACACACACACCCCTCAGAAGCATTTTGGAGTTCTTCCATTGCTCTATCATTTCTTATTAATTGCTTTGTGTTTCAATATTCTGCATATAGTTAATTTCAGTTAATTACACCAGGAAACCCTCTAGAAAAAAAAAATGCTGTATGCACACATTCACCCTAACACAGAATTGTATCCATAGAGCCAACATCTGGACACATTTATATATGTCACCCCCCTACAACCACAAAGACTTTCTTCCATGACTTTTTTTTTTTTAGTATTTTGCCTTTACTAGTTAATGTTTTCTATAAGCTAGATCAATTCCCCTTTTTGGGGTTAAAAATGGCACAATTTTCAATCTCCCCCTTTAATTCTTGCTTCAGTTTGTTTTTCAACATATTGGCTTAATGTCAAATCTTCACTTAAAACTGTTTTTTTGTTAATTTTTGCTATGCAGCCACTATTATTTAAGCAGAGGTGTTTGCACTTAATGCCAACTGAAGGCAGCGTGAGCTGTCTAAATGGTGCATTAGGGAGAACAGCTGATGGATTACAAATCTCCGCATTTCACCAACAGAAATGAATTTGAATCCATCAATTTTATTCCCTTATGCCAAATTTAGGAAGTTCAGTTTATGCAGATCTGTCAAAATATTACATTAAACACCTAGATGAACGAGTTAAATTAATTTAATTTTACAGTTTGCCTTGATTGGGTTAGGGTAGTTCTACACACAAAGCAGAAACTCCCACGGAAACTGAACCTAGTGAGGAAAGGGATCAGGGCAGTGGCAGCTGGGCTCAGTTGAATGGTCAGACAAGGTGTTAGAAATCAGTAACAAGGGGAGGGAGGTGCCTAGACATTCCTTGTGACACCCGTGCCTGTCTTTTACTTAACACCAATCTGATGGCCCTGAAAGAAAGTAACCACAGCAGGGAATAAAATTAAGATGAAAAAAGGCTACTGCGCTTGCAATGCAGAGCAGATCAGTCAGGGCGACCAAAATGAAAGAGAAAAGGGAACAATAATCCTGCTGTGTGGTTATATAGCACCTTTCATCGAAACAATGTGAGAATTCTCTATTTTTGCAGGCCAGCTCCCTAGAGGGCTTTGAAAGCAATTCAGGAGGGAAATAAAAGGATTGCAGAACAGATTTCAGGCTTGAATGATAAAATGGACATTCTGCAAGACAGATTTTACTGAATTGATAACTGGATGATTGAGGCTGTCACACATAAATAAATTGAAAAGGAGTAAAATCAAAAAGAAAGCAGAAAATTTTGAAAGGATATAACAGTACAAAGAAAACCTGATGACCTTGAAAGAAGGTCAGAGAACCAGCCTCTACATTCAGAGACAGTCAAGAGGATTCAAACCTGGAAATCTAGTGGGCTCCTAGCAGGTATGATCAGTACCAAAATATGAGACCCATACATTTCCTGCACAGTTGGCAAAGGTTAAACAGTCATCAAATCATGGAATCAGTAAGTTGATTTAAGCAATAGTTACCCTGAAGTCTAGTCTTCTTTTTTTTCTTTTCTTTTACAGAAGGATGGGTCTATAAAGGAATGCTATGGAGTGTCTCATCATGCAGAATCCAGACTTCTGCCGGAGGGTTTCCCTGGGTGTCTCTTATGGGTAACATGGGCTCCACAGGATATTCCTCACTTGGGCCGCATCCCATTCCCTAAGGAGTAACGGAGATGTGATACCTTGGCTAGCTCTGTGAGTCACAACCTAGACTCTGAAAGGAGGAGGATTCCCATACCCTTTCTCATGCACATCAATTAGCTATGCCAAGAGAACCTATCCCTGAAGACTCTATCTCTCCTCCTGCTGTTAGAATATATACATCCAACTCCCTCTCCAACCACTGGAAGTAGGTTGTACTCAGAACATTACTACACCAAGAAAGTTGGGGAGGAAAAGGAGTTGGAGGGCACAGGTGAGATGTCAGAAATAACTGCATACCCTGGGCAAGGAGAAGCATCCCATTCCCAGAACCTCTATGTAACTCTGGATCTCGGCCACCCTCTTGCTGGAAGAAGCAGCCACCTTCCTTCCATGCCCAAGGAGACACTGGACAGGCCTCATTGCCAGGTGGCATGAAAAATTCTCTCCTGCTTTCCCATGAAGAAAGCCCTATCTATGCCTTTTCTCTGATGGTATAGATACCTGTGAGAAGGAAATGCAGTGATTTCCAGAAGTAAATATTAATACAAAATAGGCTTTCAGTACATCAGAACATAAGTTTCTCCCACTCTTCTTCAAACTGAAAAAGCAATGGATCGAAAGTGCCTCATTTCATTTGCAGACATTAATAGTGAGGCTTATGTTGTTTCACCTTAAGGCTGGGCCTGATTTTCACATTAAAGAAAGAACTACAAGTAAATTTCTAAAA